CAACAACAAAAACAAAACAAACAAAAAAACAAGGTAGAGATATCCTGTATTTCATTGGCCAATACTAGGTTTAATGGACGCCACTCAAGTTGTGTTGACTTGGGTTGGGTGGCCAAACGGTGGAAAAATTGCGTCGACTTGCGTGCAAATTTGATCTCGACTAAAGTGAGCTCAAGTCAACGCAAGTGCACGCAAGGCCTGGCCAAAAGGAGTCGCAAGTAGACCCAAGTTTTCAACTTGCGTCTACTTGTGAGTTCGTTTGGCCAGGGGTTAAGCCTAGCAACGACTAAATATGACAAAAGAAGTCGATAAACAACTGGTAAAGGACTTCTTATTTATCTTTGCTTTCTCGCACGCGATACTTGGTGTCCGACATGAGCACACGCTTAAATAAAATACATGCTCTGTTCAATTTCCACGCAAAGTGTCAACAACCTGTCTTTGATCCAAGATTTCTCAAAAAGCATGATGAAATGTTCACAGTTGACTTGTAGAACTTGAAGGAGTGAATCGCGTTCACAGACTAAACATCTATAAGGCAGTTTTTGAGCTATTTTTGCAATAGGCAAAATTTCACCTTCACGGGGTCCTTTACCTTGTGTTCGAAAACTCTGCCTTTACCTTACTTTACCTGAATGCCATTTAAATCACAGCCAATTTGTAATTCTTGAAATTTTGAGGTGGGTTCATAAGGGGCTTATAGGTTTTGAGAAAAACGTCATCAAACCTACTAGTGCTCAGTCTCTCCTAGGCACGCGGGCATTCATTTTAGCACTTAAATTCTTCAAGTATCGCATAAAATGGTAAAGGGCTTAAGAAAACAGTAATTTGAAACAGGAAAAACATCTTGGACCATTTTTTTAGTCACTTTACCAACGAAAAATTTGAAAAGGCCTGTTGCACTTCTATATCAATTCAAACTCTTTAAAAGTGAAATCAAGTTTTCGGCCGCCATGAGCCAAACAAGAACCCGAACGGGTTGTTATCAATATTTTTTTTATCATAAAAGTTTTCAGTATTAGACACGCAGTATAATTTAACTATACTAAATAGAATCCTCCGTTTAATTCCTGTCGTTTCCCATCCCATGCCAGCCTTTTCCTGCTATAGTCCAATACGAAACAACAGAAGACCTTCAGAAGTTTATGAGTTATCTCAGTGTTTTGATAAAAAAAGTTCTTTACTGTACCCTAGAGCGACCCATGATGAAAGCAGTTATTCATTTTATATGGTTAAAGAATTGTCGCCAGGACTACAAGATGGTGAGGAAAAAATGTTCAGTATTTAAAAATCTTTTAAAACGCTGACAGGTACTCGTCGCTGCCGCTATAGACCCTTTTCGTAAATGGCTGCCAATTATAAATTCTTTTGTAACTATTAAAATTAGCCTGACTGACCTCGTTTTTGAGTTGATAATTCAAAAGAGTTGTTACTCCGGCCCCAACGAGTTTAGTGAGGCTAATTTAAATGCATACAAAAGAATTTTAAATCGGCAGCCATTTACGGGCTAACGAAATGTTTTAGTTCCTCGGCCATTTGAGCAGGCGGCAAAAGTAATTAAGAACAGGCCGAAACGACATTTTAAAACGAGTACTACTGGGGACGAGAGTGACGCGCGCGCCCAAAACACGTTCGATCTTAAGTGCATTATGACGTCATTCCTGTCAGTTCTATGTTTGTTGCTTTTTCCGGAAATGCTAACAAGAAAAGCATTGCAATAATACGGTGTGTTAAAGCAAGAAAGATGAAAAAGAGTTCAAAGAAGCAGAGAACAAAATCAGTAAGGTAATAATAATTCTAATTTGTTTAATTGCTTTATTCGCCTGTGTCAATTTCCTCATTTAGGCATGTCAACAGAGTCCACGGGGAAATATTCTTAAACCTACTAAGAAATAGCTTTTGTCACTTTTTTTTATCAGCAATGAAGAAAAACCCAGAGTGGTAGACACTTCAGAAAAGTTAACTCAACATAGTCCTCTGACTGATCGATATCCACGAGTTTTCGTAGAGACTGTGCGTAAACCTTCCTTACCGCTTCCTGACGAGAAGGAATTATCAATGGCAGGTAAAAAAAGAAAAAAAAAACCTGTATCTAGATGTGCAGCTGCGGGATGGTGTTTTTAAACACCCCTTAACCGGCAGTTAGATTTTTTTCATTTAGGAATATGTATTAATTGTGTTACAAAAACAATTACGAGAACTAACCGTTATCCCTCAAGGTAACCGTAGCGTTTTCTAGGCTAACCGGACACGGCGTGTTGGACGTCGTTTAAAATACTCCATGTCTGCATTGAATAGCTCTCTGGTTAGCCTGAAAAGAGCAGAGGTTAGGCTGAATGGTGCACCGGTTAGCCTGTAAAAGGAAAATATTCTGACTGCCGGACACGACGTATTGTAGAACTCTGTCCAGATGCCAGGCATCAATATACTACGTCTTACAAAAAAAATTAACTTCCTAGGTAATAGCAAGTTCGTATAAAACACCGGTAAATTATTCAACTCTCCTGATCAACGAACAATTTTAAAAGCTCTTGTTTAATTTCAGACGACGGGATAACAGAAACGAAGATGACATCGGATTCGGAGTTTGATTTCCTGCCAGCGGCTGGACAAATGAGATTAACGGCGATTCAAAAAGCGCAGATAAATCGTGCGCGCGAAAACGCCATGGAGGAGTTGAAATCCGTGCTCGATAGAGTACGCCTGACCGTGGACGAATACACTACAGCGGAGAAAGAGCTGCAAACTATTGAAAGCCCTGATCCAGAATTTGAAGCAGAACAAGAGGAACGAAAGATGCGCGAAAGGAAAATGAAGAGAAAGGAAAGGAGAGCAATGAGAAAAATGAAACGCTCAGAAGAAGAAAAAGAAGAAGAAGAAGAAGAAGAAGAAGAAGATGATGATGATGATGATGATGATGATGATGATGATGATGATGAAAAAGAAAAGAATGGACGTAATAAGCAAAGAGAAGCTCTGGATCAAACTACAACTTCAGGAATAGAGGAGAAAGATGGAGAGGAAGGGACATCGCCGGAATCTTATGGAGACTCAAGTGGATCGAGCACTGAAGAAGACAAAGACAAGGAAGACGAGGATACCGATGAGAGGGAAACAAAGCAAGAGACATGGACGGTGCCGGGACAAGTCCAAAGGAAGATCTCACAGAAAACTTTATTAACGGTGAGTGAGAAGATTAGAGGAGCTTTCCAATCAACCCAAACCAAAAACTAAGGTTAAGTGTTTACCACTTTTTTGTATAATATGAAATAAAGACAATGGCCATGTAGTTCGTTGGAGGCGCGGTGGCCTCAGGGTTAGTGCGCTCGCCTCCAGATCGAGCGCTCCGCGTTCGAGCTCTGGCCGGGGACATTTTACATGTTACATTTTACATTTTACACTTTACTTTACACAGTACCTCCCTCCACCCACACCTGCGAACTTAATGCTGGGGGTAACCCTGCAATGGACTAGCATCCCATCCAGGGAGGGAGTAGAAATACTCCTAGTCGCTTCATGCTACAGAAACCGGGGTAAGCTCCGGCCTCATGGGCCACTTGGCTCGTATGCAGACTTTACCTACCTTACCATGCAGTTCACTCATGCGCACTGACACTGTTGGCCCTTCCCCTTGTATACCATTAATTATTACTATTTTTCCCACGCTCTTGTCATGTTGATCAGTTCATTTATCACAACTATTACTATCTTTGTAAATTCACAGCGCTCAAAACGCCGTAGAGTTCTCAAACTGATTACATCATACTTGGAGCTTTGTGTTGAGAGGGAAGACATTATGCGTCAGATGCAGTTATGGATAGAGTCAACAGTGGACGAGGAACTGATGAAACCAGCGCGAGTGTTTCTGTTCAGCCCAGAGCTTCTCCTGGACGATCTGCCACTCGAGCTGACATCAGAAATGCAGACTCTTGGCGCCGCTTTGTTGCGACTGAAAAACATAGCTGACTCGCTTGGGATTGGAGGCAGTAACATAGACGAAGAAGATGGAAGCTCCCATAAACTGCTGACAAAAGCTCGTGGACCTCCAAAACCAAAGACAGTGTACAGCTGTAAGTGTATTGTAGCAATCCTACTTTGTATTGCGTGTCTGGTCACATGAATTTTTGGTCGAATTTTGATTGGTAGACTAGTCTTGTTTGAGGCCCTGGTGTTTGTCTCTGTGATGATTTATTTACAGCGAAGCCTCTATTAAGCGGCCACTTATTAAGTGGCCACCCCGTTTTAAACAGACAGTTATTAAGGTGGCCGACCACAGTTTTCGCGCGCGCTTTTGCTGATGCAATTCAGCGCGCGCACAAGGATTGCAAAAAACAAACATGCCGTCCATAGAGAGATCATTTTATTTACTCAACACCACGCATTATTTGTGCTATTTTTCTCTATAATTGAACGCAGAGTATTAATGGCTTTAGTCTTTTATTTCAAAGATATCTTAGAAAAGATAACGATGCAAAGAACCCAGCAATTCTTAGCTTTTTCTTTGTTACCGAAAGAACCCAGTTAAATGCAGCGCATGCGTAGTAAGTCAAAAGAATTGCGATTGAATGAAAAATTGCACTCTCGGAAATACGCCTACTTCTCGAGAACCACGTAGAATTTCACGAAATTTGCCACGAAAATATGTTAGGAAATAAGTAACTGGAGTATTGAAAATAATTGAACTTTAACAGTGTAAATTCTAGATATTCCACTGAACCTTCAACAAGGGATAATTAAAGATCTCTCTGTTAAATTATTAGCAAAATGGTGTTAACTTGTGAGAATCGTTATTACAAGCTTGTTGCATGCTAATTATAAAGAAAATCTAATGACTAGATTTTCTACAAATAAACAAAATCAATTTTAAAGGCCTATTTATATTTATTCATGTTGCCATGGCAATGGCACATACGTCAGCTTAACCATTAAAAAACCAACGTTTGTGTTGTTCACTTGCTTGCTGCCATTTTTGGCGACCGAGGTATCAAGGGTTTTAGAGAAACAGGTGAATGAAACACAGGTATCAAAACTGTGGTCAGCCCCCTTAAAGTCCCTAAATTACTGCCAGTCAAATACTGTAAATGAAACCCCTATTAACCGGCCACCTCTATGAAGCGACCGCGGTAACCTTTCGCTGGTCCTGATGAGGGTTTTTCTGCTGCCTTTACCTCTGTTAAACGGCGATGGCAGGTAAGAGTCCGAATTCGAAATAGAAGGTGATGAGTGATAAAAACATTCAAACACACTTTTATCATGATTGTCTCAAACTGACTTCATGTTCACTAAGAAATTAACCCGATGGTGAAAAATATTCAAGGTACACCAACCTCTATTAAGCGGCCACCTCCCATTTTCCCGTGGGTGGCCGCTTATTATAATAAGGGTGCGACTGTAGTTTTCTTGTAAGTGAAATAAATAACAACAACGATAAATGACAATTTTGGGTGTCGCACCCAACTCTATTTCTTGGTTATCTATGAGGTCATCTAAAAACTGTGTTTTTGTTTCAGTGGATGAACTAGATAACGCGGAGAACTGGGTACAAGCCGAAAATGATGTAGAGAAGATTATCGAGCACGCAATTAAAACTGTTCCCATTCGAAAAATTCGCCTCAATCTTGACAACGCCAAGAAACAATTTTTACTGATGTCTCAGCTGATGAAGAGAAGAAACTCGACCATTCGCCAGGTAAGATGACGAGTTTTAATTTGAGTTGTAAATGCTAACTTTTAACCTGTGGGACGATGGAAAGGAGAAATTCTTGGGGATATCCAGCTCGATCACTAACATTGGTGTTAAACCTTCTGTTGAAATTTACATCTAATTGCCAAACATATATCTGTATTGAGGACATTACAGTGGTTTCCGCGTTTGCCTTGGTAGTGCACTACTTTGGCTAGCGATTGGTTGAAAAACTCCCGCCACTTTCTCAACCAATCAGAAAGAAGATCAACATCAATCAGGAGCGGCGTTCCCACAACTTTTCCCGCGCTTAGCACCGGCCTCACGTATTTTCTTGTTTCACTGGTTTGTCTGCGTCCTTTGTGATTGGCCAAAGTATAAATACTTTGGCTTTTGAATGCTTGATTCTTAGTTGAGAAGTGCTCTAAATAAAGCAGCCTTATCACATGGAGTTTAAATTTACAGATTGGGTGGTTGAAAAAAAAAAAAAAAAAAAAAAAAAA